AATTGAGAGATTTATAATAATGATAGTTCATATGTTATAATATTTTCTTTATAATTTGTATATAACTTCTAGTCTGTCGGTTTTACATAATACAAATATTCTGATGAAAGGATTAATTATTATAAATATAGAAAGAAAAAAAAAAAAAATATGTTAATCTTATGTATATACAAATAAGATAGATGATAAATAAAAGTTACATTATTTATATCAAATGTATTTATTTACCAAAAAAAAATTAGAATAACTATTATCTTTTGATCCTCGTTTATGCGTATAAACATATACACCTATTATCACATGAAAATATATTCCTAAATTGTGTATGTTTGCACTGTATGACATATGAAGATTCAATGATGAACGCAGATATATCTAACTAATATTTCTATTCATATATGACACCCTTTTTTTTTTTTTCATATAATCGTAAACTTTTGCTTTAACTTTGTATAACATGAGCTAAAGCCTTATGATGAAAAATTCTTGCTTTATATACTAAATATTCTTTCATATCAATCTCTATTTCATGCTTCATTTGATCCCATTCATATTTCATTTTTTGTATAAAATAAATATAAGATTCTTTATCGCACCATTCATCAAAAAAAAATTGCTCTAATTCTTCATAAAACACTTTTTCTCTTTCTGCTAAACGTGTTGTAACACTCCTGTATATTTTCAACCACTGTCTACATTTGTAATAATCTGGTAATCCAAAAAATTCAGATAAATCACCCCAATAAAACATTAATGTGTACAATGAATCAAATAATTTATTTTTTTCCAAAGCATTGTAGCGAAAAAATATAGTCAAAACATCCATATTGTGAACCATGGAACCTAAATTTTCAAAAATTTCATTCATGGATCTATTTGATAGATCATAATCTTCATCTTTAGAACTTTTATTATTGTTTTTTTTTTTTTCAGTACATTTTTTGTGTTTTTTTAGATGTGCACCATCTGTATTTTTTCCACATGATGTTTCATTATTACGCTTATCTGATTCATCATCTTCTGAGAATGATCCCATTATACTTTGATATGAATCAAACATGTCAACATCATAATTAGAAGTTCTTTCTTTTGTATTATTATTATGCATATCATACATCCTATTGTAGTTTTCTTCGTTGGAATTATTAAAATGATCACACTCCTCATTATAATGCTTTTGATTATTTCTATTATGTGGGTCATTATTTCTGCTTTCATCTAAATATGTTCCACATTCATTAGTAGACTCATCTATTTCACATTGAGATTCACATTTTGAAGCACATTCATCCTCTGAGAAATCAATTAAGTTTGTTGTACTAGATTCACTGGGACTATACATTGATTCACTTGAAGAATCATAACTTTCACTATCATCTTCATTTATATTAGATATATTACTTTGTCTAGTTTTTTTTAAAGAGGATTCAGATAATATTCTTAGGCATCCATTATTATTACATTGTGATACAAAAATTGTGTTACATTCATGCGTGTGTTTATTCTATAATTTTTTTTAAAATAAGAGTTAAAGATAAAATAAAACTGTTTATTAATCTTAACATTAATATTTGATAATTTACAAAAACAGAACAAGGGATTAAAAGGAATAAAAAATACAAAGATAAGAGACAATAAAAGTGACGTTTAATTTTACCTGTAAAAAAAGACATACTAATGCCAAAATCAATGAGGTTATACATCTTGAAAACGAAAAATTTATGCAACCTTTTTTGCTCATTTTTTTGTTCATTTTTTTATAAGGATTAGTAGAATAAATTTCATAATTTACCATGTTCGTTAAGCAAAACCCCGTTGTTTCTCCTTAAAATGTTTAATTATTTATTCTGAATGCCAAATTAAACGTATATACATAAAATAAAAATAAAATTCTTAAAAGGAAAAAATAAATGATTTGTTTAGAATATATCACTATCCTGCAGATTATAGTATATTTATATACATTTTCTGACTACTTTGTATTATACAATGACTTCTTAGTTAATTATAATTTGTTACAGATAACGTAACTGCAGCTCTATTTCATAAATGCTCATTGGGAAAAAAACAATGAGCCCATTTTTCGGACAAAGATTTGCAATATAGAATGTATGAACAGATATATTTAAAAGCGCTAAAAATGTACATATGAGCACTTAATGTTATATTATATTATTTAATTTTTTATATTATTAATTCTATAGGAAAATTATAGAATTGTTACTTTTTTATGCTTAGTTTTATAAGTCATTTTTTTTTTCTATTTTTTAGTAATACTTAAAAAAATTGTGTTGTAAAATTTTTTAGTTTTACTCGAATTATCTCTTTGGTTCTTAATTTTTATTTAATTACTTTTTCTTTCCTGACACTGTTAACAAAAATTTCATATTATTTGTTTAAAAAAAAATTATAGTTTTTTTTTTTTTTTTTTTTATACAGATTCGATAAAACAAAAATTTTAATTAAGGAGAAAAGGTATGTTCGGCTGTTTTTTTTTATTGCGAATTTTACTTTTATATAACAATAATTCAGATAGAATAGTAATTAATTTATAATAAAATTATAGTTTTAAGGGTGTTTCAGAATCATCACATGCATAAATGTATCATTTATATTGTCTTTTAATAGCACAAAAAAAAAAATTTATTCATATATACTTCTTATATCCTTTTTTTACAACATTTTGATCTATCTTTATATCAACGCTTCACCTATATTTCCATTAATACAAAATAATTATTTTTATGTACGAGGAGTTTATATGTTTTCTTGTAATGATTTTTCTATTTTATTTTTAAATTATTATTTTTTTCGCTTATTTTTCGTAAAAGAAATAATAATTTCTTCTCAAGAATCCAAAAACCAAGAAAAGAAGAAGATAATTTACCCCTATTTTTTACTTCGGCAAAAGCAAAAAGAAAAGTCATTTTTCTAAATATAAACCTATATTATTTAAATATAGAATTTATCTTAAAAATTGAATAAAAAATTATTTTTCCTTTTTTTGTTTTTTATTTATTTTTTAATTTTACAATAATTAGACATTTATATATTTAATTAAAATATTTAGAAAAAATCTGCTAGCAAAAGTTTGTAATAATAACGTTTTTAAAATACATTTACCAGCAAAACTATAATTTTTCGTTCAAAAATATGAAACCTTTAATGAAATATATTAAAAGAGGATAAACAATTACTTTTTTCTTTTCCGTAAAAATACGTTTATTTTTTCTCGCAAATCAGTGCACAAAATATGTATAGTTCGTGAGACACAGAAAAAAAATAAAATAAATAACATATGTTCTTTTTTTCTCATTATCTATATACTTTTTTTGTTTGATAAATTTTATCTATACAGTTTTTATAACTATATAATAAATTCACAAACAAATCCATGAATTACAAAATGTAATACTTTCTTAAATTATATAATTTAATTAAAAAATATCTAGTGTGGAAAGGAATACCAAACAAGCATTAAATTTGAAAGCTGAAAATATATTAATAAAGGATAACTATGGTGAAAACAATAACTTTGAAGAACCATCGGATTATTTTTAAGGAATGGAAACTCAAGATAATGAACATGAAGAATGTAAAGAATTATTAATCTTGGGTAATACAGAAAACAATAAAGCTTAAAAAAAAGTAAAACAGCTAAATTAGACACTAGATGAGAAGCTGTTAACAAATTACTATAAATATTTAGATACATTATAACATATTACTTTATCATTTTCAAAAGAATTAGAAAAGGAAACAGACAAACATTAAAAAAAATAGTATATAAAAAGGAGACAAAAAATATGTTAACAACCATTATGCGTGAATATGCCAAAAAAAAAAAAAA